CTTTGCAGAGGGCTGTGGTTGAAGCAGGGCTGAGGGCCGGCAGGGGTGGGTCTCCATGGCAGTAGCACACAGGCAGGCAGGAAGTGGCCCTGTGCAAAGCGGGAAGTGGCTGTTGTCGAACAGGAAGGGGGGGCTGGGCTGTGGGAGGGGGTGGGGAGAAGCCCAGTGAAAGGTAGATGAGGGAGAAGGGTGGTCCCTGGAAGAAGGGGCGTCTCCAGGAAGAGGCCGCTTCAGGCAAGAACACCAGAGGGTGTTTAGCACTTTGGGATGTGGAGCCAGGGCCTTTTCCTACTCCTGTGGACTGAGGCAGCCACCAAGGCAGCGACCTTGTCACTTTGGGATTGAGGATGCTGTTTGGCCAGGAAGCCCTTGCCCTTGGGAAATATGCTCAAACCTGTCTTGTTTCTGCTGGGTTGGTGCTCTCTGGCCCACAGGGGACCATAGGACAGGAATGGTAGGGAAACACTGGAGGGGGGGCTGGACAGGTGGCTGTGCTGTGCGGGGCATAGGTCAGTACTAAAGAACTTTGTGATGGCAGGGCACTGTCACCAGTGAGGCTGAGGAAGAAGGGGGACCTCACAGGAAGTGACGCTCCCCAGGGTGGTCCTCTCCCTGGCAGCCCCTATAGGCCTTAGATGTAGGTAGGCCATGCCCCAAAACAGCCATGGGGAGTTCATGAGAAGCCCCAAGAGTGGGTTGGGGGTGCAGGTGTATTTTGGACCCTGCATATGCCCAGGTGGAGAGGAAAGTGGGTCCTAATGTCTCTGTTGTCTGTGGCAGTGAGCCTGGCCCAGAAGTCTTGTTCTGTCATTGAACACTTGGAAAGCAGGCTGCTTCTTGTCAGGTGCTACGCAGAGTGTACCATCCACATTATTGCATTTAAACCTGAGGTCTTGGTGTTTCCATATTAGAATAAGAAACTCGTAAGCTAGGTACCTGGCTCACTCTTGTCCCCTTTGGGTCCAAATCAGATGTCATTTTCTCACTGAGGCTTTGCAGTGAGAAGTCTCATGCCATGCACAGCCACCTTGTTTAGGCTTACACTTTCTCCCTCCCAGCTTCATTCTTCTACTTAGCACTTACTGCACCACCTGCCTGCAAGCTGAGCTTCTTGTCTGGCCTTCTCCCCGCCCCGGTCCTACCAGCATGTGAGCCCCACAAGGGCAGGGGTTTCATCTGGGTTGCTGGCCACAGTTCCCCAGCGTCTAGCACAGTGTCTGTCACGTGGTAGGCCTCAATAAATACATTTTGAAGGGCTGAATGAGGCTTGGGTACGTTTAGTAACTTGCCAGATATCACAGGGCTGGACTTAATCCAGGGCCATCTGAGTCCAAAACCGATGTGTTAATTGCTCTACTCTATGGCTTGGAATCAGGGTGAGGACCAGGGCACAAGCCTGGGGTTCAGAGAACCTACGGGCCTCGCCCAGAACTTAGAACTCAGCTCCGTGGTTGAGCTGAGTGGCTGGCAAGGACCCTGGACACCCTGGGCAGCTCCTTTGAGGAGTTGAGAGATGAAGTCTGTGTCTCCTGTCTCTGCGCTGAGTCACTGGGAAAGCCAGAACACCTTTTCTTATTTTTAGTGCTGTTGCTGTTGTGGGCCCGTAACCATCAGCCAGTAAGAGACTTAAGGAAGGAGATAAACATTAATCTTCTGGGCCTTCCCCTCAGCTGCCACCTCCACATTGCAAGGTGCTGTTTTCCCACACCTGTCTGGGCAGCCAAGCCTGTGAGTTGTGGGTCAGAGGTGGTGAGATGTGTGGTCAGAGACGTGGCCAGTATGGCTACAGTCTGCAGTATCTCTGTCGCCATTCCAGGGCTCACAGGGGAAGGTGGGGGTAGCACTCAACATAAGGCCAGATCTGGAAGGAGCATGTCCCATCCCTCCCCACCACCACGACCTTATGTGCCCTGCCTCATAGAAGGCCCTGGCCACATCCTTTTGGGACCAGGTAATGTGGGCCTAGGGTGATGTGGGTTTGGCTGCATCCTGGGCATCGGTCAGGCTGCACCTGAGGATGGAAAGGAAGGCCTGACCCAGATCTTTGGGCAGCTGGATAGATTAGCTGGGAAGTAGGGACTAATCTCTGCCAGTCCCCACCTCCTTCCATGAAGCAGAATTATTGCTAGAGGAAAAGTTTAACACAAACTTGAGGTGGTTGCTGAAACAGTGAACATGAGTTCCTTCTCATCTAAAATCCTTACATTATCTCAGACAGACGGACCAGGGTTTGGATCTTAGTTTGCCCTTTTCCTGCTGCGAAATCTTTAACAAGTTATTTAATTTCTCTGGGTGTCAGTTTATCCTTTGTAAAATGGGCCCAATCCTAACAGCTACCTGCTGGGGTCTTGGTAAGAGCCGTTGAAGGCTTTAAAGAGATTCTGCTGGGCTGGCGAGATGGCTCAGTGGTCTAAAGCACCTACTTGGAACAAGCTTAGCAAACCACAGGGACCACGGTTCAATCCCCCAGCACCACATGCCAGCCAGCCCCGCCCTCTGGTGGGCTGAGCTGGCCACACACACACACACACACACACACACACACACACACGCACACTAAATAAATAAATGTAAAAAAAATTTAAAAAAATAAATAAATAAAGAGATTCTGCTGTGTGGGATGGAAATGAGGTGGGGAGAAACCCCTTCTACGAAAGATGGGGTTGCTTAGCCTAGGGAGTTGGATTGCACCAAACTCTGCCTCTCAAGCCCTCCAGTCTTTGCTCTCACTTGTTCTCATTTGCAGTGATGGAGAAAGAGGGATCCAGGCCCAGACCACCAGCATGTACTTCCTGTCTATCAGCTTGGGCAGTCAGAGTACTTTTACCTTTTTAAGCCTTAGTTTCCTCATTTGTGTAGAGCTAATCAGGTTCCTGCTCGATGGAGTTTCAGTGAGGATAAGCAATGATAATCTTTGCCTCACAGTAAATGCTTAGCAAGTGGCGGTTGTTCCTGCTACTGTTGTTACTAATAAGCCTGTGGAGTTCCTGTTTATGGAAAGAGCTCCAGGAGTACTACTTGGGAAGGTCCCCCTGTGATCTGTGGTGTGTGAATCGTGAGAAGTACAGGGGAAGATCGGGGTCGTCAGGAGGAGAAGACACCATCTCCCAAGAGGAGCAGGGAAGCCTTTATCAAGGAGGCAGCTTTGGACAGGATTCCAGCAGGCACAGACCGAGGAAAGGAGAGGTGGCTGGGTTTCCTTGCTCTGAGCAGCATTCTCTGTGCTCCCTGAGTTCTTCCTGTGGAAGGAGTTGACCCATGCGGCTCACCTGGCCCTGAGGACTCACATATTCTGGTCATTTCCTCAAAACAGAGTAATCCAGAGCCCAAGGATGAACAGTTCAGAGCTCACAGCCATGGGCAGTCTGGAGGAGCCTGGAGAGAAGCAAGATTTATATCTGTCTTGTTTTCTTTTTCTATAAAATAGCATCAGAATAGTGCCAGCCTTCTATAGAGTTTTGTCCATGTGGCATAGATGTCAACCCTCAGTAAATCTTAGCTGTATTATTATTATTATTATTACAGCTAAGATTTATTATTATTATTATTATTATTATTATTATTATTATTATTATTATTTGGCAGAACCGGGGATTGAACTCAGGCCCTTGTGCTTGCCAGGGAAGCGCTTATTCCACTGAGCCATCTCCCTGGCCCCTGTTAGCTGTAATTATTATTTTAAATTGCCAGGGTTGAGTTGTAGCTCAGTGGTAGAACTCTTGCCTAGTATACGTGAGGCCCTGGGTTCCATCCATAGCATCATAAGAAATGAGGAAAATTGGTTATCGGCACCCTCATTGGTCAGCACTGTTATGTTTCAGAGTTGAGAGGACAACTTTGAAGGAAAATACATACATGTAAAACTCCTAGCACTGTACTCAATCAACTCAGCTGTTACACTATTCCCTCTTACCTTGTTTTTCTTTTTGTGCAGTCTCAGTTATCTGTGACCAACCACAATTCAAAGACACTAACTGGAGAGTTCCAGAAATAAGCAGTTAATAAGTTTTAGGGGCCAAGAAGATAGCCCAGTAGAATAAGTGCTTGCCTGGCAAGCAAAAGGGCCTGAGTTCAATCCCTGGTTCTGCCAAAAGTAAAATGAAATAAAATAAGTAAGTTTTAAATATAAGTAATGTCAGGTCTGGGATGTAGCTCAGCTATAAGGTGCCTGCCTGGCAAGTACAAGGTCAGGCGTTCAATTCCTAGTACATAATAAAGTAAATAAATAAAAAGTAACAAACAGCCAGAGATCTAACTCAGTGTGGAAGGTCCTATTTAGAACTGAGCATGGTGGCACACGCCTGTAATCCCAGCACTTGGGAGGTTGAGACAGGAGGATCACTGTGAGTTCAAGACTGGCCTGGGGGCTACAAAAGTGAGTTCAAGGCTGGCCCGAACTGCATAGCAAGACCCTGTCTCAAAAATAAATAAATAAAAAAAATTTAATGTGATAAAAATCCCTTGCTGCCGTATTCCTGTCCCCCAGGACATGATCATCCCTTTGTCTGGAGTATTCTGTTATAGAAGCTACCTGACAGGAATCATTTAGTGGCCTTTTTGACCATCAGGTGGAATGTCACAGTATCACAGTGCTTTGGTATAAGATATGGTACTGTCTGCGGTCTCAGGCATCTGCTGGGGATCTTGGAACACCTCTGCCTCAGACAAGGGGGAACTACTGTGCTAGTGCTTCCAAGAAGAAAGAAAATCTCTTATGGTAGAGGAAAGAACATCTGTTTTAGCTAAACACCTGAATTCAGTTCTGGGTCTGCCACTCACTGGTGTAAAGTATTTAACCCCTCAAGTCATTTATTTTCTTACCTGGAAAAAGTGGTCGTAACAGCTATATCCAGGATTGCTGTGACTTGCTGTATTAATTTGCCTGATTGCCACAAGTAGCTAGTCAGTGCCTAAAAATTAAAGACATATGAATAGCCCAGTGACCATAAATAGAATAGATGGCTGATGACCTTTTTTTTTCCCCTCTCTTTTGTGCTTAGATCACCAGAAACTAGAACGTGAGGCCCGGATATGCCGACTTCTGAAACATCCAAACATTGGTGAGTGCCCTATACAGAGACTTCTGTGGTGCCCCACCCCATACTCCATGGTGTTTTGTGGAAGGCAGGATGCACAAAGATTGGCTGCTTTTGTGTGTGGAGTCACCTCTGTCTGTCACCTCTCCACCTGGTGTCTTCATTTGGCCTGGGCAGCGTAGCAGCACACTGAGGCTTTCTCATTGAGAGACCTGAGTATCTCCACTGCTGTGGCTCCGTGTTAGGCTGAGAGTTGGAATAGATTCAGACTCCTCTCTCCCCTTGCTCCTTCCGCCTTTGGGCTGAGGTCCAGGCCCTCAGGGTGTGAGGTTCTGGGCTCCCAGCCTGAGGCATCCCTCACGGGGGCCATCCATAGCCCTCCTGAAAGGCACAGGATTTTGTTTTTGGACCGGAAAGAGTTTTGTCCCTGTTGCGGTGTCCTGTGCGCGTTGAAGTTTCCATGGCACTCTGGTTTGTGTTCCCGCTGTCTGCCTGCCTGACTTCTCTGGAGAAGGGGTGGCAGGATGGGCTCAGATGAGGAAGGAGAGAAAATTGAGAGGCTCTCTTTCTGCTCCCATCCCGACCCGGGGACAAGAGCACATTGAACAAGAGCACATTGTTGTTTGTTTTAAAGCTTGAGGAGGTTTGCCTGCCCCAAACCATTTTGGCTCATTTTTACGTTGTTGAGCTGAAACAATCTTTGCCAAAAGCATTGGCCCTCATCTGGTGCTTCTTACAGAAGCGCCAGAAAGTAGGCTGGCTGTGGTGTCTGAGCCGAAACACCAACGTGGACTTGAGGCAGAGCGGGGAGCATCTCCTAGGTTTTCTCTGAAAGCCCTGAGTCATCACGAAGGACAACCGTGGTCTGTGCTCCTCAGGCATGGCCTAAATATCAGGGCTCCCGCAGTGCCATGGAGGCCGCCTGCTCCACTCTCTTGGCAGCCAGGCCTGTGAGGCGACTTGCCGGAGCTTGATACTGCTTCCAGGGCCACCCAGCCACTGGCTTCCAGATCGCAGAAGGTTTAGTGTGAGCTCCTAGTAGGAGAGCTGAGTCGTCCTCCAGCCTGAGGAGAGAGGAGCAGTGCTGAGGTAACCAGCACACCAGCCATCCCGGGCTTTATAGATCACAATCAGCAGCTTGGATTACACCCGAGGCAGATTGGCATAGTCGGTACCCTGCTCCACCTGGTGCGCACATCCCACGGAGCCAGCACTTCTCAGCTGGCGCGTCTGGCCTTGGAGCTCAGGAGCTTTTGGGGTTTCTGAGGTTAGACCTTGCTTGAAAAACTGCGTGGTAGGGACCTGTGTGCTGCTGTGGGTTGACCAGGGCCCCCAGAGAAACACTTCGAGTGACAGTCACAAATTTGGGCATGTTTTGTTTGGCTGGCTCAGTAGTCTAAAAATATTATTATTTCCCAATATTGAAAAACAAGATTTCATATTTTGAAAAAAAAAAAATCCTACTTCCCAGATTTTCAAATCAGGAGGCTTGGCTCTAAAGCCACCCACCACCTCAGAAAGCATTTTGGGATCCCAGTCTTGGATCTCAAACTCTTGAGGACCGCAGCTTCCTTTCCTTTATGCTTCTTGGGGCCAACTGGAGCAGCAGTGATGTGTTTCCTCCTGTAGGAAGAAAAAGGGATAAGGGCCAGAGGTGTAGAAGCAGACTGCTGTTAACATCCCTATGACACAGGAAAGGTGGACCACAGGAGGGTCAGGGTATCATAAAGACAACTGAGATAAATATGAATAGGAAAGACAAAGGGGGGATATTAGCAGAAAAGAGTCTTAGCTTTTTTTCATACATTTCTAGGATTAAATATATAGTACAGTGACTTTTCGATTATTCTTGGTGTGGTCATCCTTTCCCTTTACCATCAACTGCAAGCTTGAAATAAAGGCAGTGGAGGAATTGCCTGTCCCAGGGCTCTGCACTGTTGGGAAGTCAGCAACACCTGAGGCAGTCACTTTGTTGGCATCGGCATCGGCATCGGATTGCCTAGGACTGTGTTCCCATTTCACTACTGCTCAGAGATCTGGAGAGTTCCTGGGCCAGGGGCCGGGGTAGGGGCAGGCAGAGGGAAGGGTGCATCAGGACTGTGTCCTAGGAGCGCTGGCTGGCTGGGCTCCCCGGCTTCTGGTGGGAACCAGAACTCTTGGAGATGTGGCTGAGCTTTGGGTCCAGGAGCAGGTGTTGCCATGGATCCGGACCTGCCTTGTTGCTGGAGAGGAGGCAGTTTGTGCCCTGATTCACTGTTCTCCATGGCCCTTTTGGCTCTGGTCTTTTTAGCTCCGTCTCAAAGGGAGACCAGCAGAGCAGTCCAAGAATGGTGCATCGCTGGGTCAGCTGAGAGCAAAGAGCCAGATTGTTGACCTTTGGCTGCTGTCAGATCTGGAGCCCCTTGGATTCAAAGGGGGTACTGGGTTCAGGGGCCACATGTCCCATTGTATCCCTAATACGCAGTCCACTCAGAAGCCTGTCGGAAGTGTAAGCCCTAATGTACACTGTGGACTTTTGGTACTGATGTGTCACTGTAGGTTCATCGATGGTGACAAATGTACCACTTTGGCGTGGGGTGTTGATAGTGGGGGAGGCTGTGTGGATGTGGGTATGGGGTTATGTGGGAACTCTTTGTACCTTCTGCTCAGTTTTGGTATGAACCCAAAACTGCTCTAAAAAGTAAAGTGTATTCATTTAAAACAACCAAAATTCCTGTTGGGTGTGAAGCTCACTGTTGAGCTCCAAGCCGTCCCGGCAGCAGGCAGTGGTGGCAATTGAGTGTCGGGGGAGCCCGTAGTACCGACAGTCTAAAGCCTCACTAGAGTGCGTTCCACCTGTGATCTGCCTGCTCTCTGCTCTAAATTCCTCTAATGAATAGACTGTCTTCCTCCGTGCTGAGCTGCCCCAGCACTTTTGATCACAGTCTAGCATTGTGGTTTAAAGCAGCCCTTCTCAAACTTTTATGTGCTTATGAGTCAGCCAGGGCTCGTGTCAAAATTCAGGTCTTGATTCAGTAGGTCTGGAGTTAGGGCCTGAGATTCTTAATCTCCCAGATCACAGATGATGCTGCCACTGGTCCATGGCCACACTTGGAGGAGCCATGGTGTGTGTCTTTGGAATCAGGTTCACTCGGTTTGAATTTGGGATTTCCCAGTTACAAGTTGTGACCTCTTGCAGGTTATTTAACCCATATGTACCTGCCTCTCTTTTCTCTTCTGAGATCCTTCATGAGCTTGGGAGAGGATTCAGCAAACAAGACTGGAAATGGAAGTGATGAAAATGGAAATGGAGATTCCAACTCTCAGCTCCTCAACCCTAGTTCTATTCATGAATTATTCAGGGAAGGCTACCATTTGGGGAACAGTATAGTAAAATTAATTCTAAAGAAAAAGGAAACATTGCTCATGGCTGATCTGAATTTCTGTCCCTGGTGCAGAGGTAGGGGCCCTGCACAACTGCCTCTGGGGTGTAGGCTCAGTGACAGCAGGGTCTCCTTCTCATCGTATGACTACTCTTTCTTTTTCCAGTACTGGGGATTGAACCCAGGCCCTCGCATGTGCTAGATAAACACTCTACCAATGAGGTACATCCTCAGCCTTTTTTATTTTAGTTTTGTTTGGTACTGAATCCAGGACCTTGGGTGTAGTAGGCAAGTACTCTTATCACTGTGTTCTATTTTTAGTCCTTTTTGTTCTGAGGTAAAGTCTCTATAAGATGCCCAGGCTAGGCATGAACTTGGGATTCTTCTTGCCTCAGCCTCCTGAGTAACTGGACTTGCTACAGACATTTTCTACAGTGCACATTATCAGAGGCTTTTGAGGAAAGACTTGTTATGCAAGAGTGGCTTTGGTGAGGGTGCTAGGGATGGAACCTAGGGTTCTTGGCACTGAGTACATTCCCAGATGTTTAAAATTTTGAAACAAGGTCTTGGCTACATTGCTGAATTTCCCTGCCTGGGCTCAAATTTGTGATCCCTTTGTCTCAGCCTCCCACATGGCTGGGATTGCAGGTGTGTACCACCTTGCCTGGCTTGCAGTGGACATTTTTTTTTTTTTTTTTAATGTATTTAGGACAGGGTCTATAGGGTTTCACTACATAAATCAGACCCATAGTGATTCTTCTGTTTTCAGCCTCCCTGGTTCTGGGATTACAGGCATGTGCCACCATGCCCAGACTTAGGGTTTGTGCCGGCCCAGTGCGCCTGGGGTCGGGGCTGGTGTGGCATGTGATGCCCACAAATCGAAACCTGGTCCCTGCACTTGCCTGAGCAGGCACTTAGTCCACTGAGCTATGTCACCAGCCCTAGATGGTTTTTAAAGAGTTACAAGTCACCACAGCATTTGAGTTGCGGGTCTTTCAGTCCATGAAGATCTCAAGTACAAAGTAGAGGTATCTCAGTGTTTGGGCCATCCTTCCTTCCCTGATTGAGAGTAGTAATTAGAGTTATTGCTCAAGCACTGTAAAGTTTTGTGTTCCTTTTCCCACATCTTCCCGTCAGCCTTGGTCCAGCCCTCCTTACTGTGGAAGGGGCTGGGCATCAGAATATTTCATTCCACACACCATAGCACCCTTTTTTTTCTCACCACAATCCACACACTTGTGCTTAGTTACCTATTTGTATAATTTCTGGTTAAAATCTGTCACCTGGAAACACCATGGGAGCAGAGCTGGGCTCTTTCTCTTCAAAACTGTGTATATAACTGAGCCTGCTTCAGGGCAGCTGCCTACAGGATGTTGTCTATCGAGTCAGGGGGCCAGGGCTGATGGGCAGGTGGAAACTCCTTTGCATAAAAGGATGGACAAAGATTCTTTAGTGACTCTGATTTTTTTTTTTTTTTTTAATGTATTTGGTACAGGGTCTCACTGTAGATCAGACTCATAGTGATTATCCTGTTTTCAGCCTCCCAAGCGCTGGGATTATAGGTGTGCGCTACCACGCCCAGTCTCAGTCACCGTCTCAGCAAGCCCCACATGGCATGCTGTGGATTGAACCCTGGCCACTGCGCTTTATTCTGCTGAGCTATCTGGCCGGCCTGTGACTTACGTATATCAAGAATCTTACCTATTTTGGTGTCTAGAATTGAACTCAGGACCTCATGACAGCCAGGCAGGTGCCGTGCCACTGAACTATGGCCCCAACCCCAATACTAAGAATGTTGATGTCAATTTTTCTTCAAATCATGGTTCTGCCACTTACAAGTTGTGACTTTGGGTGGGTCCTTTTGGAGCCTTAGTTTTCTCTCCTGTCAGATGGGGACATCATAAGGAGTAGCCCTCCAAGTTAGTAACATGAGTCTCTAGTAATGTACCACATGGAAAGCACAGAGCAAAACGCTCGGCACATAGAACAACTCAACTAAGTGTCAGTCATTATAAGTTCAGCCATTATCAATACTCTCTCAGCGAGGTGTGGGGGCCCATACCTGTAATCACATCCCTTGGGAGGCTGAAGCAGGAGGATTGCTCTGAGTTTGAGGCCAGTTTGGCCTACAAAGTGATTCTAGGCCAGCCTAAACTGCATGATAGGACCCTGTCTGCAAATAAACCCCCTACCAGTTGGTGCTTAGAATGGTGCAGTTTTCACCTCTTGTTCCCAGTTGCCTTTTAATTTTCTTTACAAATTACAAAAAAGAAAAATGAGAGTCTTATTCAGATCTCTCTTACTGCTTGTCTTGGTGTGTGGCGTCTCGCTTTCAGCACACATCAAAGCCGCAGGGGCAGGGGCTGGGTGGCTGGCAGGATTAATCTTCCTTTGCTCTTCTGCTAATCCCCTCCCACCTGGGCTCTGTGTGTGGGCTTCCTGGAAAGGGCACTCGTGTCTGGGCAGAGGCCTGAGTGCCTACTCCTCAGGCCTTTTTCTCAGGCCTGTGGCTCTGGGGGCAGGGGTAGGATTGGGCCTGGGCGGGCTCAGGGAATGGGGTTAGCAGTGAGGCTCAAGGCAGAGGTCCCCTGGGGGCAGTTGTTAGCGTCCTACCTGCTGTCCTGTCAGCTCACCATCCTGCTGCTGTTACTCAGCTCCCTAATGAAGCTGGTCTTTGGCTTCTGGGACAGCTGATTTCTAGGGGATTATTTGTATTACACACTTTAATGCTTTTTAATAGCAAATTTTTAATTAAATGGAAAGTCCTTTTGGAAGCAAGGGAGCAGCCGCAGCAGGACTCAGCATGAGGCAGCGACAGAGACCAGAGAAACAAAGTGAGGGAGAAGCAGCAGGGCTTTGGGGAGCTTGACTGCATGTGAGGGTTCAGTGTGGGAAGGACAGAGGGGTCTGGCTCCTTCTTTCTGTCCTAAAAGCCTTCCTCTGTCATTGGCAGGGCTAAGGAAATGTGGGCGGTTTAATAACAGGAGCAGGTAGGCAGTGTGATGTGTAGACCTCACATCAATTCAGGAGTCCTGAATTGTTAGGTGGAGACAGGGACCTGTGGTGATGGCTCTGGGCCTGGGGCAGGGCTTGTGTGTTTGGGTTATGTGTTTCACATTCTGGCTGATGTTGATTCGGTGAGAAGGGGAGGTCGGGAAGCTCCTTGACCCTCAGGAGGCGCTTTGCAACTGCATGTGAAAGCAGTCTAGGCCTGTCAAGAAAGAGATGCTGGGATTTCTTTGTATCTGAGCGCCTCCTCAGTTGGGTTTGTGTCAGGCCATTCCTGAAGTGCTCCTGGAGATCTGTAACTGCTCAGGCCCGGAGCAAAGGTCACACAGGGAGCTTGTGGAACAGAAGTTTCTCCTCCAGAGAGTTGAGGTAAGGGGAGGGATGGGAACATCAGGACAGGCAGCCAAAGCAAGCTGTGTCTGTATTAGAATGATGTTCAGGGGTTGGCATTTAACCCAGAGGTAGCTCTGTGGGCATAAGCTTGCAGAGGAGACCTCAGAAGACATTAGGTTGGTCTTTTGCCCAAAAGCTTTAGAGGCAGGGATTGAGACAGGACTGTGCTTGCCAGCCTTTTCTCACTATTGGTGAATTTCCTTGGTCCTCTTCATGCCCTGCCCTCCTGGACCCATCTATACGCTGTTGTAGGCACATTTGTGAGCAGTCTCTCGCCCCAGCTCTGTGGCTTTGTTGCCTGGTACGTGGGCCATCCCATATCTCTTACAGGAAGCAGTGATATGCACTGGCTTTTGGAGCTAGAGAAGCCTGGATTCACGTCTTGACCACCACTTACTAATAGTTCTTTAGCCTTTGGTAGAAGTTAACTTCTGGGCCAGCAAGATAGCTCAGCAGGACTAAGCACCTGCTTAGGCAAGCGCAGGGACTGGGGTTCAATTCCTGGCACCACATTTACATAGACCCCACCCCCAGCACACAGAGCCAGCCACCGAGACTGGGCGTGGTAGTGCATGCCTGTAATCTCGGCAATGGGGAGACTGAAAACAGGAGGATCACTGAGTCTGAGCTGCGTAGTAAGACCCTGTATCAAATACATTAAAAAAAAAAAGTTAACTTCCATGGTCCTTTTCTGTACAGGAGGAATGACATTCATCTTAGCAAAGTGTAATAAACTCCTTGAAGGCAGGCTCTGTTCATTCCTCCTGTATGCCACCGTCTACCCTAAGGTCTAGCACACAGTGGTACAGTGGTGTTCAACTAGTGCTTTTTTTTTTTTTTTTTTTTTTTTTTTTGCGGAACCAGGAGTTGAACTCAGGCCCTTGCACTTGCCAGGGAAGCGCTTACTCCACTGAGCCATCTCCCCGGCCCCCAAAGTGATTTCTTTTCTTTTTTTTTTTTTTAATTTTTTTTTTTTTTTTTTCAACTAGTGCTTGGGAGATAGTAGTGTAGGCCAAAAACCTAACACAAGGCCTAGTACAGAGTAAGCCACTGTCTGATTGTGTGCACAGCTTCCTGGGCTCTCTGGCTATTACCCTGTTCCCTTCTTCCTGCCTGCAGTCTACCCTTGCCATCTGCCCCTCTTCAAGAGCTCCTGGACTGTCCCATCTTGTGGCTGTCTGTGCCGTGCCATCTTGTTGTCCTAGGAGCACCTTCTCTGGGACTGGACCCTCCGGGAGGTTCCTGCTTTTCTCCATCCTGACTTGTCCTTAGCCACAAAGCCCCTCTCGCTTCCCTCAGGCAGAGGTGGTGCTGCTGATCTGTCACTCCTCTGTGGCTGCCGTTGTCCCACTTGGTTTGGAGGGTTGGGTGTGTTGCCCCTTCTGCCTGCAGTGCATGGTGAGGCTGGCAGGAGCTGTGGTGGACTTGCTCTCAAGAAGCATAGGATCTCTGAATTTTCTCTCTGTTAATCTCTGTCCCTGTCTCCTCTCTTGCAGTGCGCCTCCATGACAGTATTTCTGAAGAAGGGTTTCACTACCTCGTGTTTGACCTGTAAGTGCCACTCTTCCCCTGCAGCTGGCTCAAGGGGACACCTTGGGAAAGGCTAAGCTGAGCCCTCAGCCACTGCTGGACCCCTGTCCATTGCCCGGGTGAAAGGACTTGCTTGCGAACTTCCTCTGAGGATGGGTGGGGAGCTGGCCTGAAGCCCCTGGGGGTCTCTCTGTTCTGACATTTCTGTGTATTTGTGTTCAGCACTGCGCCTTGTGGCCTTGCTTGTGTCTTGTTCCTTGATGCGTTCTTTTTGGAGAGATAAAGTACAGCCTTTGCATGACCTTAAAAATTCTGGGGAATGGAAGATAGCTTTTATTAGTTGTAAATGGGTCCATTTGGTCTCTCTTCCACTTTGGTTGTACTTCCACACCTTAAAAGTGGCTCTTTTCCTCCTGGAAACTCCCCTCCAGTGTCATCAGGTTTGGGTGTCTATGTGCACGCTTTCTTTACTCTTCCCTCTCTGTAGTAGGTCTGTCCTGGGACCCCTGTGTGCTTATGTTCATACTGCTCTCAGGCAAAGCTCCAACTTTTGGGATCGCTTGGATATTTTCTCTTAGATCCCTGTGTCTTTACCACTGCCTGAGTGTTAATTAATGTGTAGATTAGAGAAACAGAAGTGTCCAGAAGGAAGGGGAGCCGGGATACACCACAGAGGAGCCCGGTGCCTCTGAAGGGCAGAGCACTTGCAGGGCTCACACGCACGGCACACACAGCGTCAGAACTTCTCTAACAGCTGTTGTACAGTGTGACTGTTACCTGTTGGATGCTGGGCTGGTCATGGGATGCTGCCTCCTCTGACCTCTTCTCCTGTTCATTACAGTGTTACTGGTGGGGAACTCTTTGAAGACATTGTGGCCAGAGAGTACTACAGTGAAGCAGATGCCAGGTGAGCTGCATTAGAAGGAGGCTCAGCCACCTCAGGGGGCCAGCGTCCAGCCTGTCTGAATAGTCTCTGGAAAGATGAGAAGCTCTGTTCTCTGGATAACAGTTCTGTATAGCTGGACTAGGGCTCCATTCTGTGGGTGATGTTAGAAGTCAAAAATTCACCCAGATTGATATCTGGTTAAGCCTCTTATAAGTCTCCTTTTCCCTGTCATCCCAGAAATACGTTTTCTTTATATGGCTGTGTACTCACCAGCATGTCCAAGGGCACTTTCTCCTCTCTTTTTATCTCAAGACAAATCTAGTAGGCACCACACCCCAGGCTGCGGCTGTGGTGAGGAAGTGTGGTTGTTGTCCACAAGGAGTCTAAAACCAGGGAGCCACTACTCAGGTTTGCAGCCTGTAGCCTTGTTGCGCGTGATGACCACTTTGAACATATGACCCTCCGGCTAGGGGATAGTCACCTGACCCCTGGTGGCTCCTTCCTGTGACAAGCTAAATGCCACCTACTGGGGTATAGTTTGGCCTACCTTTCCTGCCTTGGCGCCTCCCTGACCCCACTTTTCTCTGAGGGTGACATCCTTAGAACCTGATTTTGATCATCCCACCTTAGCTGATCTGGCTTATGTGGAGCTTGGACTGGCTCTGGAGAGTGGGGGAGTGCAGCTTCCTCATGAGTTCCTCAACCGTGAGCTGGCCAGTGTTTGCTGACCAACTTCAGATGCTTTGGCCTCAGGAAAAATTCTCAAGTGGAGAGATGAATTCCAGTGCCAGCAGGGGAGGACCAGGCTGTGGGCGGGAGGAGGCGGCCCAAACGCTGGGAGCCCAGCCGGGGGAGGGGGGCCTGTACCAGTGGGCTTGGCCTGGCTCGCCTGGGACACTTTGCACTTTTGCCATTTTAGGCCAGAAGGCTCTCTCTGCTAGCCTGGCTGTGTTCTAATTATACATTTCTGTGGAGACTCCGCTCCGTAGCTCGTTGGCCTACCATTGGGCTCTGTCCTGTGGGAGGCCTGAGCCTTGGCCACTAGGGGCCTGGTACAGTAGTCCCTTGGCTTTTGTAGGAGCCCCAGCAGCAGATTCTAGAGAAAGCACTCAGAGGTAAAGGCCAACCTCCCCAGAACACCCAAACACCACAGCCTTCCCCGGCACACCTGGTGGTGTTGGATGACCAGGCATCTGGTCTCGAGCTCAGGCTCCCCTGGCTTCTGTGCCCTTGGCATTTTAGACTGGATAATTTTTGAGGGTGTCAGGCACTTAGAAGCATCACTTGCCAGTAGATGCATCTTTTTCCCTTCCGCATAGTGTGACAACCAGTAATGTCTCCAGACAGTGCCACACATCCCCTGGGGGTAAACTCGTGCTCAGTTGGAAGCCACCTCTTTCGCCTGCCTGTGTTTCCTGCCAGGAGTTTGACCACAGGGCTGGCAGGAAGGCTTGCACAGTGGACTGTCTGCTTTGAGAATAGCAGCTGAATGTGACTCTGGCTTTGTCCTTCTATGTGAATTCACCAGAAATGCTCCTCAGGTGCTGTTTGGAGTCCCCACAAGTGTATTGTTTCTGAAACTTGTTTAATCTCTGCTAGATGATAAGAGCAGCTTCTGGGTCTGCCATAGAGATACTCAACAAATGTTTAAATAAACCCATCCCCAAAACAACTTAGGTCACTTAGTTGGACTCTCCTTAATTGCTGGCAAAAGCCCTTTCTCTAAGAATGGCCAAATGTAGTAGCACACACTGCTTGTAATCCCAGCACTTTGAGAGACAGGAGGATGACAAGTTCAAGTCCATCCTTGGCAACTTGGTGAGAACCTGTCTTGAAATAGAAATAATAAATAAACAGATAAATAAATGAAAAGTAAAAGGAGGCCTGTGGGTTTGAGCTACAGTACCTCTACACATGCATGCACATAAAGGAGCAACGTGACCATGTGGGGAAGAAAAGTGAAAATAAAAGGGTTGGATGGACTCATCTTTCTCAGCCTGGGGTGTCTCCTGACTCTTGGGAAACCAGTTGGTTGTGTTGGACTTGTGCAGCCAGAAGCAGCCCTGGTGGACCAGTTCTTGTTGCTCTTCTGCCACTCAGTGAGTGAGTGGAAAAACCACATAGTGCACCTGGACCTCCATTTCCCTTTCCCCAAAGTGAGTGTTAGTAAGAATGTGGAGGAAAGGGAACCCTGTGCACTGTTAGTATTATAAATTAGAATAGCCTTTTTTGGAAAACTGTATGAATATTCTTCAGAAAAACTAAAAATAGAATTACCATATGATCCAGCAGTCCTACTACTGGGTAAATACCCAAAGAAATTGAAATCAGTATGTTGGAGAGATGTCTGTACTCCCACATTCACACAGCATTACTCTCAATAACCGGGATAGAGAACGTAAGTGTCAGCAGCAGATGAACAGATACTAAACATGTGGTAGATGGATATTACATATAGCTGTGGGTGTGTATGCACAATGTATAATAGAATACTATTAAAGTATGTATTATCTATGGATAATAGAATCCTATTCAGCCTTTACTAATTGTCATTTATAACACGTGCATGAGCCTAGAAGACATTATGTTAAGTGAAATAAGCCAGGCAGAGAGAGACAAAAACCGCATGGTCTTACTTCTGTGTGGGATCTAAAAACGATGATCTCATACAGTAGAGTAGAAGGGTGGTGGAGTCTCTACTAGAGACTGCAGTGGGTGTGGATGGAGAAAAGAGAGGCATTGGTCAGGGGGTACAGTTTCAGAGTGGAGGAGTAGGTTCTGGTCTGTGGTGAGGATAGTAACAATGTATATTTCAAAACAGCTGTACGATTTTTAAGTGTTCTCACAGCAAAGAAACAATACATATTTGAGGTGACAGATATGCCAGTTAGGTGATTTAATCATACCAGAGGTATAAATATTATTTGTCCATTAAAAAAAAATAGGTTGAACTGGATGGTGTCTACCTCTGTGAACCTGGTATCTGCTTTTAGTCTGTGCATGTAGTCTTCATGAGGTGGTCTGATTGACATTTCTCACCCCCCTGTTTTTTCAGCCACTGTATACATCAGATTTTGGAGAGTGTTAACCACATTCACCAGCATGACATTGTCCACCGGGATCTGAAGGTACTGCCCAGGCTGGCCTGCCGAGCCTCCCGCTTGTGATGTGTTGGTGCCACCTGGTGCCAGGTAGTGGTACTGCGTGGGCCCAGAGTGGGCTTTCTCTGGGCTGAGGGGTAGATGCCTCACAAGTTCCTCTGGTTCCTTTTGCAGCCTGAGAACCTGCTGCTGGCGAGTAAATGCAAGGGTGCTGCTGTCAAGCTGGCTGATTTTGGCCTTGCCATCGAAGTGCAGGGAGAGCAGCAGGCCTGGTTTGGTAAGGGTGACCCCGTCTTCCCGGAATGCAACCCCCGCCCTTCCTCCTCTTCCTGTTCTGCCTTCCTCTTTCAGAACTAGAAGCCAGACCTTTAATGGTCCTTGGAGAGTGGAGGAGGGTGGGAGGGTACCGAGATCCCTCCTGGTCCTTCGTGACTCAGTACAGTGAGTCTTGTAGCTGTCAGCAGTGTGTGCTTGCTGCTGCCTCTGGGGAGGTGCTGAAGTTCCCGGTAGGCACCCAGACTTGCCCTCTTCCTTAGGTTCCAGGAAGGATGAGAAGCTCGGCCTGGCACCTCCTGCAGCCGGTGTGCCGAGAGATTATGTAGCAAAAGCAGCAGGCAGGAGAAGGACTTTGGGGGGAAAATGCTGATGGGGATTTACTAAGAGAGAAGGTGGGTTCAGCGTGCCTCTGCCCTCTTTTCTGCTACAGGTTTTGCTGGCACCCCAGGTTACTTGTCCCCTGAGGTCTTGAGGAAAGATCCCTATGGAAAACCTGTGGATATCTGGGCCTGCGGTAAGCCCATTCCACGCCTTCAGCCTTTCTGTGTTCAGAGCCCTCGGCTTCCAGTAATGGCAAGAAATAGGCATCGCTATTCCTTGCGGGCCCCACAAGTACCTGCTCTGTGTGAAGTAACAGTGTTTGTCCCCCTGGGAGGGCCATTCCCATCACATCCTCTTCTCCAAGTGACTTCCTGGATTGTGTCACGTTATTCTTGGACAAAGATTTGCTCACGCCATAGAGCGTAGGTAGAGGTGAATCTAATGTGACTTGATGATGGGAGGAGTGAGACACAGAAAGAGGGGCTGGCGGCACAGTGCTGCCCCCTGGCATCCATGCCTAGTTCTGGGCTGACCCTTGCCTTTCTGGGTGGCCCTGGGCCCTGCGTGGCCTTTCTTTACTCCTCGGAGAAGGAGGTGACTGACCCCAGCAACCTGTGTGCTCTGTCTCGTAGGGGTCATCCTGTATATCCTCCTGGTGGGCTACCCTCCCTTCTGGGATGAGGATCAGCACAAGCTGTATCAGCAGATCAAGGCCGGAGCCTACGATGTAAGGACTGGTTTGCTGAGAGCCCTGCAAGCACATTTTCCTGCCCCTCTGGCTCTGTCCAAGGGAGGGTGCAGGATTAGTGCGTCTTGTGATACAGGAGTGTGAAGGGACTTTGAGGACCCAGGGATGGGCATAACAGACTTAATTCTTGCCACTTTTTGGTGGGAACAACTTTTTTTTTTAAACACCGTTATGGGGCCAGGGAAATAGCTCAGTAGAATAAGCACTTGCCTGGCAAGTGCAAGGGCCTGAATTCAATCCTCGGTTCTGAATGAATGAATGAATAAATAAATAAATAAATAAATAAATCACCATTCTTAGTAGCTATAAAAGTAAGAAACCCACTAAAGCTCTTTGATCTTTATTGTAAAGAACGGAGACGCCACCTGACATGCTGTCTCACAGGGATGAGAAGTCCGGAGGCTCCTGCCCTGCAGTGATACCTTGGGCACATCAACGAGCCTCTTTTCTCCTGGGTAGAGGCATGGAATTGAACTAGAGCGTTGGAGTTGCCTTCCTGCTCCGATCTTATGTTCTGGTGTTCTAACTATGACCATTCTGTCTTCCTTCCCGGTCTTTAAGTTGACACAGTTTCTGTGGTATTCCCAGGGCTTCTCCACCTCTATGTCAGGCAGCTTTGGGTACCACAGCATCCCAGGGGTAGGAGTTGAAGTGAAGACATAGCCTGCGTTTCAGGGTGAAACACTCAGATTCCATATCCCTCCCCCTGTCCTACTCCTTAGTTCCCATCACCGGAATGGGACACAGTAACTCCCGAAGCCAAGAACTTGATCAACCAGATGCTCACCATAAACCCAGCAAAGCGCATCACAGCTGACCAGGCTCTCAAGCACCCATGGGTCTGCGTAAGTTTCTTCATTATGGGTCTTGGAGTTGGGGATGACTCTCCATGTGCCCTTTGTACCCTCCTTATTCATCTTTTTACCAGCAGAGACTCCCCTGGGGCTTTGAGTGGGGCCCAAGGTCAGTGAATGTCACTGAGGGACTCAGAGACAGAAGGACTCAGCCATAGGCCTTTGCTCATCTCCCAACACTTGATGTTCTGTGGCTGCATTCTGTGTGTGTGTGTTTAGTATAGGGTCTCACTACATAGATCAGACTCATAGTGATCCTCCTATTTTCAGCCTCCCAAGTGCTGGGATTATAGGCAAGTGCCACCATGCCCAGTCTCATTTGTCATCTCAGCGTGCCCCAGGGGCAGGGCTGGCATAGCACACCAGCAATCGAACCCTGGCCCCTGTATCTGCCTAAGCAGGCGCTTTTATCCACTGAGCTATCTGACCAGCCCAGTGGCTGCATTCTTGAGTGAGGGCTCAAGCTGACTCTCACAGACCCAGGTAACTGACAATTTAGAAAGCAGCTGACAGAACTCAGGGTGAATTCCCAGCTCTCATACAACTCTCTTGGTACCATGACCAGGACCCCATAGATAAACATGAGTGTCCTCTGAGCTATTGCAAAGAGTACCCTGAAGCTCACTCTTGGTCACTGCTATGTTTTCTTACACAATTCTTTCCAATGTGAAGATTTGGTACTTAGCTATCCTGACAGTCGTAATACATTTATTTGTCCTTTCCTTGTTTACCGAATGCCTCTTTGATGCTAGTCACCAGGCAGTTGCTGGGGAAACAAAGATGAATGCAGCATGGTCCCTGCCCCACAGATCTGAGGAGACAGCACTCAAACAAGCAGCCATGCTACAGTGGGACGGTGTGCAAAAGCATCCGACAGGAGGGCAGAAGTTCCTGCTGTCCCTGATAGGCAGTCAGGTCACCGAAGGCTTCATGGGGAAAATGGCCTCTGTCCTGCTTGGCAGATGACAAAGAGTTTCCCTAGATGTCACCCTGAAGACAGAGGTTAGCATGGGCTGGAGTGAGAGGCCATGGGAAATCATTGAGTTTAAGGAATGTTAAGTAGTTCAGTCTCGATGAGGCTGTGACTATAGGAATGTGAGAGCGGGGCCAGAAGGATTCCATGACATACAAGTTTCTGCCTGAGGAGTTGGGATTTTATTCAGAAAGCTTAGGAAACTATTTAAGGGTTTTAAAGAGAATATGAAATTTGCATTTAAGAAAGATCACTTTGGAAGTGGTGTAGAAAATGGAATTGGAGGAAAGAAGCTGGAGGCAGAGGGCTGGTGAGATGGCTCAGTGGTCTGAAGCACCTACTTAGAACAAGCTTAGCAAAGCACTGGGACCGCGGTTCAATCCCCCAGCACCACATGCCAGCCAGCCCCGCCCCCTGGTGGGCTGAGCTGGCCACACACACATATAATTAAATAAAATTAAAAAAAGAAGCTGGAGGCAGAGCGCTCAGGGAGCTGTTGGAGCCATCTAAGCCCAGACAGGGTCTCAGGATGGGGTCTCAGCCACAGGCAGAGGTGAAGAAGCGCTAAGCGTGGTAGGCAAATGAACTCGAGATATTTGGGGCATGAAATCTAGAGGCTTTCTAGTGGCTGTATGTCTGTATGGCCCAGGAACAGGGTTTGGTAGTAAAATACTTGCCTGGTGTCCCTGAAGCCCTGAGTTCTATCCCTATCACTGTACTGCAAAAAAAGAAAA